TAAATAAATAAAAACCATTTATGGTTTAGTTTTCCAAATATTTGAAAAAACACGCCTTATTTTTATATATATTTTTTAGTTCACCAGAGAAATGATTCGACGTTTTATATAAATATGTATAAATATAACTATACATATATATGTATGTATACTGTATGTACATCTATACATATGTATATGTACATATATAGTGTATATATATATGAATATATGGATATGTACATATATGAATATATATACATATATATATACACATAAAGGTATACATATATACATGTTTATATATTTCATATATATTTACATATTTATATTTCCTCTCTCCCTTTTTTCCCCTTTTCTCCTGTGTTTTTTAAGGTAAGCGGGATCAGTGCATCAATTAGCAGGAAACGTGAGCAGCGCGTATTATTGATGGTGGTGATCATGGTGATCTGCTACCTCATGTGCTGGCTGCCGTATGGTGTCATGGCCTTATTGGCTACCTTTGGGCCACTGGGCCTGGTCACTCCTGAGGCCAGTATCATCCCATCAGTCCTGGCAAAGACGAGCACCTTCATCAACCCGATCATCTATATCTTCATGAATAAACAGGTGAGAGGAATACCAGTGTTTCGATATAAGAAAACCTTTGGGGGGAAACCAAGCCAAAAGTATATTCACTCAAATTTTTGGACTTTGTTTTACGCTGTTCTGGTTAGCACAGTGCGGATGTCCTTTCGCTTAAAAAGTTGCTATCATTAGCAATCACAAAGCTACATGGCATCTAAAGTACTCGGGTCAGTCATGTCGACTCCTAAATCTGGTTTTCAACTTTTGAAGGAGAGGAGTTGATATATTTACACGGGACGGGAGCTACTGCGCAATAAATATCTGAATTTGTTTACAGGTGCTCGGAACTAGTACACAAGCCTGGGGTGCCCTCTAGTGGCTGTCAGGGTGAAAATAACAAACGTGAAATTATATATTTTAATATATAAGTCGCACTCTGAGTATAAGTCGCAAACCCAGCCAAAGGATGAAAACAAAAAACACGACTTATAGTCTGGAAAATACAGTAATTCAGTTTTACAAATTTACTATTTTAAAAGAAAATCCAGTCAAATCCATTCAATTTTATCATTGAAAGATAATCTGTCAATGTTTCAAATAATAAGTCATTCAGACTCTGATGTTTGGCGGTGTTTTATTTCGAAAATGTAATGATTCTTTAACAATAGCGTCGTTCGCAGTAACAGTTGATACCGGCCGATCGGTCCTTGGTACGAAAAAAGGAAGGAAAAGCACAACAACAGATACATCAGGAATAGTTACAGTATATATTTTTTTATCGACTGCGAAGTTATACTCATAGTCTATCCAGTTTTCACACTGTGAAGCTGCAAAACATGATGGCACATTAGATGACGATTAGATGATCCCGACGATCTATCTATGACAATATCTATTGAAAAATTACATAAATCCCAAATATCATACAAATATTACATATTATGTTTTAGCGGTGAATAAAGAAAAAAAATACACTTCTGGCCAACAGGTGGCAACGTCAGCTTTGGCAATAACATTTCCATGTATAATAAATTAAAATGAATCCCCTCAGTCTTTTTAAAGCAATACCTCTCAAGGGCGGGGCTGGGGCAGTCAACCCCCGGTGGAGTGCGTTGAGTTGCCCAATGGAGTATGGCACTGCTGTAATGATTGACGATAAACAAGCCTCCTGTCACTAGGTGGCAGCAACTCCTACAGTGGTTTGTACAGATAAAAAAAATGCATATTCTCAGGTTCTCAAAAGTAGGGATCACCCCTCTTCCGGGGGGAGCCCTAGGTGTTCCCTTCTCCTAGTGGGACATGTGCGGAGCATGTCTCTAGGGAGGCGTTCGGGGGGTGGGGGGGGATACGATTTAAATGCCCAAGCCACCACATCTGACTGCTTACGATGGAGAGGAGCAGCGGCTCTACCCCAACTCCTCCCGGGTGACAGGGCTCCTCACCCTATCTTTAGCGCCTCTAGGGAGCGCCCTGTCACCACATAGTGACACTACTCTAGTAGTAGACCTATTCGTGTGTTTTTTTACTTTTGTTTTGGTGCTGTACTGCTGCTGGAGCCTAAATTTCCCAAAGGGCACTCCCGAGGGATTAATAAAGTGCTAGCTAGGCGTGGTGGCGTAGAGTGATTAGGGTTCGAATGATGAATGAAACTCTGTTCCGTTAATGACTAGCCTTTATTCACCTATAGAAAAGCTAAAAAATGTCCATAAACAAACGTAAGAGCGGGAAAGACATTCTGGGTTTACTAGTATTTCTGGCAATTACTGCGAAGTCTGGGGATGTATTTGTTTCCTAAGAAAATGTCGAACAAAAAAAAAAGGGTTTACTATTGGGCCCATTTCGCATGTAATAAAAAATGTTATACTGTACCTTTATACTATGATTTAATTAAATTAATGGGGTCTTTGTTTTTTTGTTCTTATGAAGAATTACCCTAATTTTTCATTGTGGTAAAAAAGGATTTTCTACCATTTTTTTTTTTAAATCTGTGACAAAGGTTGTTCATATTTTGTCTCTTCTGAGAAAATGTAGTAGACTATAAGTATACATGAAGTGCATGGAGTATACTAAGTATACTACGTTTACTCAAAAGGGACCTGATCCAAGCCATTTCACTGCGAACCTTTCTTTGAAAAGAACTCGTCGGAGTTCTGGTCTAGTATCTGTATTAAAAAAAAAAAAAAAAACAGTTGGAATTCAAAGCAAATACCCAGAATGCATTGTTACAGTGTTCAGACTGCAACGCGAGTTGTCAATTATTCAGTACCTTCCTATCTGTCTGTGGCCTCTGTTGTGCTCTGTTGTCAAGAGGTTGGTATGAAACGAGTAGATCTGCATGAAATCAGAATTCTAGAAGTTCACCTTCCTGGTTTGAAGAATAGTCCCCATCTCTGTGTTCATTATCTATTTATTAGACTCTGACAGTTGGTGTACACATGTCAGAGGGCCTTCACTGTACCTCTGTGACAGCCTGTCTTTTTTTAACCACAGGGTATCTTTAGACTCTGGACAGCAGCAGGGATAAAATATTTCTGAGTGTGAAAGCCTAGAGGGGACTGCGCATGTAAATTCAGTCTCCGCCAAAATAAAGCCCAGGACGGGCTTCGAGCAGGTGGCGCGGTGTTTGATTTTAATTTTTCTCATGTCTGCCGCTAGTGTTTATATTACAAATTAGGTTTACCATAATCAGAGACGCCTTTATGTAAACTAGCTTTTAGTACGGCCGAAACGGGCACTTTGGATATGTGACGCGGAGCTAATAAGCTTTGGTACGATGTCAAGTTTCGTGCGTCGCAGATTGTACAATGAGCATTTACTCAATCGCAAGTTACAAGATATATATATACACATACATATATATATATATATACATATATATATATATATATACACATACATATATATACATATATACATATATATATATACACATACATATATATACATATATATACATATACA